TCTCCTAACGCAGGTTGTCAGGAGCTCAAAGGGCACGTAGGAGGCACGCCTGGCACTTAACACAGAAGTGGCCTGAAGAATCCCCATCCAATAGCAAACAGCTGCCCAGTATGGGGCATCTGGCAAAGGACACTGGAAAACCCGATTTGTAACTTTTAGGATGGCCACAAGGCCTGTAGGCCCCAGCAGAGCTCAAAAAGTTCACAATTCGGCGTTTTTCTCAGTGCCTTTCCAAAATGCATCACTGGCAGCTGGTTTAGCGCCTACTGACTACGGCATCTCAGCCCCACTCTCTGTGTTAACGTGCCAGGCCCGTGCCTCCTACGTGCTTAGCTTCCTGACAACTGGTCAGGGAAGTGCCATTCACTCCGCTGGTTTACAGAATGAAGAAACCTGACGGAGCAGAAGCAGTTAAGCAACTCATCCCTGAGGTCTCCACTGCGTTAGACACGTACGCAGGCTGGGATTGTAGATACTGATAGAGGGCGGTAGCCATATCCCATATATGTATGCGATGTATATATAATACATTATGAGCCCTGGGGGTCTTGCTAATGTTCCAAGGCCTGGACTCCAGAACACAACTCCAGCTCCAGGGCTAAAGTGATTCTCAGCCTCCCAAGTAGCTGGGACTACCAGTGCATGCCACCACACCTGGCTAAGTTGTTCTGTTTTATTTTTTTGTTGTTATTTTTTTGTTTGTTTTTTTCAAGAGATGAGGTTTTCACCATGTTGCCCAGGAGGCTGGGGTACGGTGGCTATTCACAGACAGGATCATAATGCACTGCAGCCTCGAACTCCTGGGCTCGAGCCATCCTCCTGTCTCAGTCTCCCAAGAAGCTTGAGCTATAGGTCCGTGCCACTGCTCGGGGCTAGCTCACATTCTTGGCTGGTGTGCTATGGCGGGAAATGACGGGCGTTCAGGCAGCCCCGGGGAGGGCATTTTCCAGACCTGCACTCTTTAGTGTGCACCAGCTACGTGGGGCTATTTAGATATATATAAGTTGAAAGGGGAAAAAAGATCAAGAGGCGGACGAGAAACACCGCCAGACAGAGAGTCTCTGCAGAAAAGAGATTCTAGCAGAAATTAGAAAAAAGAAGCAAGAAGACGAGCATACAGCGGACGAGGGCCGGAAGGAGGGGTACCTGAGACCCCGGCAGACTCCACGGGAGGAGGTCACAGAGGAGAACTGGAAGCTGAGACCGCCGGAGCAGCCTGGAGACCAGCGGGAAGGGTAAGTGTCTTGGCCAATTCTCCTCCCCTGCATTTGGGACTGCGGGTGGGCTCCCCAGGGGGTGGAGAGACATGCGGACACCAGCCCAGAGACGGCCACTGCCAATGATCGGTAAGCCAGTAGCGGACGCGGCACCAGGCTCCCAACTCCCTCGGGCACCTCCGTGGGCACAGACCCGAGAGCCGCACAGCAGGTGCCATATTGTCTCCTTCTTCCCTCCCCCGACCCTACCCGAGGCTGCCCAGAGAGACAATACAGCCACAAACCGGAGGCACCTACAGGGAACAGGACCTTCCCTTTTGGGACCCTACAGCTGACTAAGGGGAACTCAGACGGTGAGCTCCCTACCCACCAGCCCTCCCAGGTGCTGCTGGCACGGTGATCCCAGGAGAACGGGGCAGACCCTGAGGCTGACAGACATAGACCCAGCTTGGGCTCCCTGTGGGTGAATTGGGACTGGGACTCCTCTCCCTGGTGGGGATACAGTTTGAACTCTGGGACCCAGAGGTCAGACCTGCAGACCAGATCCCATGCAGCGAGGTCTAGCATTGCCCAGGGCACAGAAGGGATATACGTGAACAGCCTACTGAGGTGTGTATGCCTTCAGGGGCAGATCAGCGTCCTAGCCTTAGAGGGCCAAGCCCTCCCTCCCAAAAGGAGGCTGTACCGCCCGCCCAGGTGGCATAGCCTGCGCAGGGAACCTCAACCCGCCTGCATCCACCAGTCCCGGGGAGGCCCAGGTGACGTGAGGTCTGGCTCTGCTGGCAGAGCGCGCAGGGAGTAGCTTCGGAAGTTGGGAGGGTGGAAAGAAGCGAAGGCCCACTCCCAGACTGGCGGGTCCCCTCAGACAACCACCCCCCACACGCCCAGACTCCTGGCCTGAGGCAGGACCATCTCCAGCTCACGAGGCCCTGACATGCTTTTCCTGGAAGCAGAGAACAGAAACTTTGACCCCCCTGCTAACGGCCTATTAGTCAGGTGCCTGAGAGGGCGCGCAGTCTTTCACCAACA